TCGAAAATTACTGTATAGTGTATCTAAAAACGTTTATAATAACGTATTATTTTTTTTATTTCTCACGTTACAAAATTTTTTAAATCGGATAAATAAATATAATGAGACTGTGAGGTAAGATGATATATCATGTATGAATATCATTTGCGGGCAAAATGACACAATCGTATAAATAATTGTTTTTATTTTTGTCTAGATTTAATTTTCTTTGAGTTATATAGTCGAAGATCATATTTTTGTTCGTAAATAATATTTTTACGTGTTTTATTTTATTTGTATTTTATTACGTCATACAGACATTATGATACAATAATATAAAAAGTGTGTGAAAATCGTATATTTTTTATATAACAAAATTTATTTTTGATTTTTGTTATTTTACTCATATACGGGGGCAAGATGACAAAATTGATATACCTCCTCAAAAAATTTAAATCAAACAACATTCTAATTTGTTTACAAATTTTTCAGTTTATGCGGATGATAGGCAAGGTTTTAGCCATTCGGAGAAAAACTCGTTACTTTCACGTCGCTACAAAAATAAGGAAAGATCGAGAAACTCGAAGGTCGTCATCTTACCCTACACTCAATAAGCGGGCTCTCGATGTCGCGGTGAGCACGTCCCGACGCGCCCTTGCCCTCGTAAAGAAGCCGCGAAGAAGAGAGACGCGGCTCTCGCGTGTTCCCTTTTACAACGAAAATCCCGGGTACCGCGGTCGCTATCGGCCGATCGAAATTATAATCGTGACATTAAGTGGCGGCTTCGTCCGAGTGAAAGTCCAAAGCGTCATCGCTCGTCTCGGTACACCGGGTATACGACTTCGCGCGGCCGACTGTATCCGACGCGTCTTTCGAGGGAACGCGCGCGCGGCAGCACGCGGCGAGCACGCATCTCGTATCTAATTATCGAGGAATGCTTTGTGCGTGTAGGAAGCCGCGCCGCCGGCCGTTCGGACTTAACGACTCGGCGCAAGAAAAAGAATCGGGCGCACGAGCGAGATTGAGAGGTAGAGGCGCGGCGGGCGTGTGAGCGGGCGCGCACTTACGCGCTTTTTCGCCCGATTTTGCGCGCCTTTTTGCCGCTTTGCCTTTTAACGTGCGTTACCGAACACGGTGTATTATCGTCCCCCGGCTCTCGCGACGTTGTTTTGCGGCCGGGTAGTAATTCGACGTTAACCTGGAAAGAGTCTCGCGCGGGGTGTGTAATTAGCAGCCCCCGCGTGCCTTCGGCCGCAAGGAGAAACCTCCGTCGCTCTGCCCGAATTCGCGTTTTACATTTCGAGCTTCTCCTTATCAGTTATCAATGGTGCATTCCGAGGTAACTGAAAGTATAATTTTGGCAAAATTGCATTGCCAGAAATATTTGGGAATTACTTGACCATTCGTTCGATCAACCGTTTGCTCGCGCGTCCATTCGTCGTGTTTCATTTATTTCGCGCGATTGATCGCACAATTAAGAAGCGCGCTGATGCGCCCGATTAAGGTGGGATAAAACGCCGGAGCAATCTCGTCTCGCTCGAGAGCGCGGTCCGAACTCGTAATTTCAACGAATGCTATTCTCCGCTTTCATCGTTTTCGACGCTCCTGATGACCACGGGGCAGCGTCAGGAGGGGGGGGGGGATACGATGAAACGGTGAAAATTATACACCGGTGGGCAATGCGGACCGCCCAGGTCATCCATTCACACTCGGATTCCCGCAAGGGCGGACCATCGCTATTCTTTACGCCCGCGACGTGATGGATAATTAATAATTATAAAGCGATCAACGGAAGGGCGGCAATTGTGCACGATCTTGCCGCGGTAATTTCTGATTCGCCTGTGCGCGAGCGAAAGATGAGAATTCGCGGCGAGCTCAATTTCGTCCGCGCCCCGGAGGGCTCGTTAAAGACGCACGTTCGCGCGTAAAATCGCGTTTAGATGGCGGCTCGTTTGGCGCGACGCGGACGCCGCAGAAAATCACGCGTTCTCTCCGCGCCTGTGCCGCTCGTGCGGGGGAGATCTCTGACACGTTGTCGTGCGAAGCGAAGATGGAGAGGGGTGAAACGATCGATCGAAGGTAAAACGATTGAAAATAAGCACGTTTCGCGTCAAATTGTAAATCAATGAAAAACATATTAGGAGAGAGTTGCCCAATTCGTACCTCAACATTTTTTTCTGTAATTATTAAATGTACAGGGTGCCTCAACATTCCCGCATGCGGACTGTACGAGATTTTTTATACAAAAGAAGTAACTTTTTTTGTTCTTTATCAAAATTGCGTTCGAACAATAGTAGCTGATTGAAATAGTGGAGTTTCTCGCGAGCTAAGCTTCGGGCAAACAAATGGGTAGCAAAATGATCTTCCTCGGTTAATTTTAAGTGGGCTTTATTTAAACAGTATTTTAATCTGAGGCTTAGCTTCGAAAATGTATTATGTTGAAAATTGAAAAATCATGAATAAAGGATCTTCTTTCGATATTTTCACCGAGGAAAAGTTATTCAAGGTGTTGGTTCTTCTGAAGAATCTCCCTGTACACATACGGGAATTTTGAGACGTCCTTCATAAGCGCGATTCTTCTTCTTCCCCTTTGTGCCGCTAAGCGTCGGAGTATTTTTCATTTGTCTCTGGATAGATGGCTTTTCGCTCCACGTGGGTTTATTAGCCCTACGAAAGCTAGCATGGTGCGCACACAGATCGTATACATGCATATGGGACCTACAGTTTAACGCCGGTTCCGAACGGCAAAGTTGGAGAGAAGTTTTTCTTGGCAAGAGATTACTCTTTGGTGGTTTACCAGGCCACCGAAGAGGAGCTACGAGCGTGTGAAAATTTTCTGGTTTATGCCGGGGAGCGAACCCGGGAACCTCTAGCATAGTAGACTAGTGCGCTATCTACTGTACCACGCTCGCGCTCCGTAAGCGCGATTCAGTAATAAATATATATTATAAAACAAATGAGCAATGAGAAACGTAACAAATCAAACGAAGTGCATTGTATGCTTTCTGTGTGATATAAAATCAAAAATACTTTACGCAGTACGTTTTGGCAACACGCCCCTACACATTGATACCACGAGTACCGGTAAAGAGGGAAAAAGAACTGTCCTCCTTCCAGCGAGCGCGGTTTATTTCGCGGGGAAAAGTAGAGGATTCGAAAGTCCGGCGGTTAGATATGTCGGACGTGCGGATCCTGACAACGCTGATCGCCCCCCCCCCCCC